CGCGCAGCCCACAGCTGCCTGTGGGCCTGGGAGCTCTGTCGCCCGCCGGAGCCTGCCGGCTTCGGCGCGTTCGCCCTGCTCGACGGCCCCGGGCTCACTCAGTGTAGGTTTTGAGGTTTAGGGTTTACGGTTGAGGGGTATAATATAGGAATAATGGAAAAGAAAAATGGAAACTACTATACTATATTATACTGGGGTATATGTTGAGGTTATATAGGGTGTATATATATATATATACCTAATTAAATGGGATGCTGGAAATAAAATGGAAACTACTGTATTATACTGGGGTATGTATTGAGGTTACATAGGGATAATTCTACACCGGTGCCTAGCGCTTGGCGCTAGAGGGTCATTGTCCAATTGTTGCCGTGACCCAAACACCTTACCATCGACAGCGCAAGCACGACCACCACCAGCACTGCAGTCAACATCATCGCTTCGCAAGACAGTTTTGTTTACTGAGCTATCACCTGGTGATGCGTCTCCCAGTCCGCTAATAGTGGCAGAATATGAAGATAGTAAGACCCAAGCATATCATTACCATGATTCCTTGGAGTCGCGATTGGTGGATGGAGCGGGAGCGTAGGCCCCATGTCTTAAGGCTACAGCCTCTGCAAAGACTTCATGCACTCTGGGCCAAGGGGGGTGTGCGTGCTTCTCAAAAATTGGGAGTCCGTCTAGAACGGACCATAGCATCTGGGAAGCTATGTGGCGAATGGAATGGTAGTTTGCGAAGCAGCAATGTCTGTAGATCGAAGCACGTTCCCCTGATCCACTTGCGACAGTACCTTATATGTACCTCCAGGGTTAGTGGCTCATAGAACTTTCTGAGCCTCCTTTGCCAGACAGCGATGTCAAATTCAGGGTACATCGAGGGGTACAGCCCCAGGGGTACGAACTCAAGCGTCTTGAGCGCGGGCTAACTCGAAGGTTTCTGCTGCCAGGGCTGCATGATAGGGAAGCTACATGCAGCAAGCTGCTGACGCAAAATTCCCTCTCAACACGTTCAGTATGCACCCTACACGAAGAATGTTTCGCAAAGAAAGATGGCGGGAGCTCCAAAGCTTCTTATGAGCCAAGCTGCGTAAGCCTGGATTGCTCCAAACTCCTGGCGGTAGAAGAGATCTTATCAACGCATGCATTCTTTTACCACCACCTACCTGGAAGACCCAGGCGCAATCAGAACAAATAGCTGAGGCAAAGGAAGGGCAGTTCTGTATTGGAAGTGTGCTTACATGTGAGTTGCTCACGCTCATCAGACAATGATTAAATCCTTCAATAGCCAGGATGGCCTAAAGAATTGAACCTCCGTGCGCAATACGAAAGATGCTGACAAGCATGGACCATTTCTGGAGGTTCTAATCATGCGGACTACGAGAGACGTGGCTGGAAGATTCCCAAAACAAGATTGATGGGTCGCAGCCGGCAATCAGTGCGTAGAGTATGTTGATCTGGGTGGCATGTACTTTATTCTAACAGACACCCAGATTCAGCATGGGACTCAAGTTAGATGCCACCCCCTTCGCTACGCAATGTGCTAGCAGGTTATTTAAGAAGCTTGTTTGAAGTGTACATTTGCTTCCATGCTCAGGGTCCAATCATGTCCAACACGTATCCGTGCTTAGGAAACATCCAACAATAAGAATTCCCCAAAGACACATTGAGACCTTCGGGGGCCCTGATTACACATGCAGCCACACATCCCCAAACAGCGTTGGTCCAGGTGAGCCAATCGGTGAGGGCATGCTGGAGGCTGCCGAGAGCATCCCCACAGAGATACTCGGAAAGCTTCTGGTTGACAAGACTCCTTGCCAGGATTTAGCTATCAAAGGCTTATGCGCAGGGGGTATCATCAGCAGATGAACTTGGGGTCCATGAAAAGACTACACAGGTCGGTAGGGAGAATAACGCGCAGAGTTTAAGGAGGCAACCCTGCTTGAGAAGATTAAGTGTGTATTGCTTCATATAAGGTGTCGGATTTGCCATCTGGAGGGCTTACATTGGGGGACTCAGGGCTGCTAAAGTGCTAAGCAACTACCTCTACCACAGAAGTCGTAGGGCAAGAAGGGCTAGCTACAAAGTAGGCGAGGACTTGGACTTCTGAAAGCGTGAATACATTTCCTGGGCACCATATGG